AACTAGGGACTCAAACGGATACTTGCACACCAGTATTCATAGCAGTTTATTCATGGTAGCAGAAAGGTAGAAACAACCTACCTAGATGTTCATCAGCCGATGAATAGATGAACCAAGTGTGGTGTATACATACAATAGAATATTATTCAGTCTGAAAAAGACATGAAATTGTGACACATACTACAACACCTCGAGGATATTATCCTAAGTGAAATGTCAGACACAAAAGACAAATGAGGTACCTAGAGTAGTCAGAGTCCTAGAGGCAGAGATGGAATGGGGGCCACCGGTGGCTGGGGGGAAGAGGGAGTGGGAAGTCATTGTTTAATGGGGACAAAGTTTCAGTTTGGGAAGATGAAAAATTTCTGGAGATGGATGACGGTGATGGTTACACAACGGTGTGAATGTACTTAATATCACTGAATTGAATACTTAAAATGGGTAAAATGGTAAATTTTATGTTATGTATATTTTACCATGATTTTAAAAATCCATAATATTTACATACTTTTTTGGGGGGGAAAAAGCCAGGCACGTGTACTCTAGGTGGAAGAGCAGCTTGTACATGGTCCTAGAGGCCCACTTCCTCCTGGAAGTCTTCCCTTACTGTCCCAGCCACTGCTCCCTCATCTTCCTCCAATCATTATTGAGCAGAATGTCAGTGTAACACAACTAGATAACAAGCTGTCTGAGGCCAGGGCCCAGCTTACGCTAAAAAAAAAGTCCTGACGATTTTGTTTAATGTTATTAATTAGTAATGTTACTCTTTCTTCCATGTCTCTCTTTCTACCTGTCTGAGTTTTTTTAATAATTTTTTTTAGAAATAATTGACTGTATGGTCAATTTAGAGATTGATGTACAGTTGTTAAAAAAATAACAGGGATCCCTTGTGCACTTTGTCCAGTTTCCTCCAATGTTAAATGTTTTTCAAAACTATAGTATAATATCACAACCAGGACACTGACATTGACAATCCACTGACTTTAATCAGATTTCCTTAGTTTTGCTTGCGCTTATGTGTGTGTGTGTGTGTTAAGTTCTACACCATTGTACTGACCAGGTAGGCTGGTTGTATTCAACCACAGCAGTCACATACCGAACAGTTCCAACACCATGAAGATCCCTAGTGTTTTTCTTTTGTAACTACCTGCACTTCCCCTCCCTCCACCCCTTAACCCTGGAAACCACTAATATGTCCTCCGTTTCTAAAATTTATCATTTCAAAAAGTGTTATATAAATGGAATTATAGAGTATGTAACCTTTCAGGGTTGACTTTTTCACTCGACATGATTCCCTGGAGATCCATCCAAGGTACTGAGTGTGTCAGTAGCTGGTTCTTTCTTATTGCTGGGGAGTAGTCCAAGGTATAAATGTACCATGCTCTATTTAACCATATACCTTTTGAAGTACATTTGGTTTTTAGCTATTACCAAAAAAGCATTATACTTTATATTATAGCATATACCCTTTACACTTAGTGTAAAGGCATATAGCCTTTACACTTAGAGTAGTAATACAGTAAGAAATACATAGTGCCTTCTAAAAGCCCCACAGGGCACCTTTCTTTCTAAGTAATTCATTACATGGACTTGTCATTAAATCAAGGTTAGCAGACACTGAACACAAAATATCACCCTGGGTTCTTGAGGATTCTAAGACAGAGAAGACAACATCCCAGACCCCCAAGATGTATGATCTAATGGGCACTGGAGATCCACCACCAGCAGACAGTTGATTACAGAAATGCAAATTTAGTAACAAGGGAGAGTGAGAAATTAATTTTTACCAGGAAGTTTGGGAAGGTTTCTTTGGAAAAGGAGGGTTTGAGCTGGGATTTGAAAAAGGAGTAGAACTCCAACAGGTAGATATAAAAGGGAACAAATTTGGTATATACACTCCTGGGTCCCTGCATGTTATAGATTCCAGGTTGCCATGTTGCTCTTACCCAGGGAATTGCTTCTCAGGAAAGATTCTAGACTGGATGTCTGTGTCCATGTTTGCTGATGGCTCCAGTTGAAGAGATTGCTCGTGGAAGTCACATCTAGTTTTAGGATGAGATCAACAATCTAATTTTGGGAAGTCCTTCATCTCACAGATAGATGTACTGAGGCCTAGATAGGATCAAATTCAGCTCAGTCTTGTGGCCCCTACTGGCCAATCAGTGGATGTGTTTTGTCTAGAAAGTTCCCAGGTCATGCCAGGGAAGTGATATGGATTTCCTATGGCTCTGCTAAAAATAAAAAGATCAATTGGTGAAAATAAGGAGTTGCAGAGTGGATGGGGAGTACTTCTTGTTTAAAAACATTGTTTATCTCACATGTAATTTTTTAAAATCTCCTTTAAGGAATATAATTTTTACATATGCTCTGAAATAAACCACGCTTACTAATTAAGTAACTTACAGAATGTCAAGAAAAGAGAAAATAAACCAGTTTCAAAGCCTCTGTTCAGCAAAGATTGGAATGGATAAGAAGCTGGAAGATGTATTAATGAGATGGGGAGAAAGTCAGGTTTCTTCTCTCAATTAGAGAAAAAGAAAGGCAATTACAAACTGTAGCATAAACAAAAATATCTTATAACAAAGTCGTGGCCCAGATATGAAGCAAACTAAAATGTAGCATGAAACGAATAAAATAAAATGTAGCCTGATTTTGAGAAATGTATGAGTGTAAGAAAAAATATTCCATTTGCCACATTCTTCTTAAGTGACAAAAATACTGGATTTGTAGCGGAAGAAGTTGTGGCCCATCGCAGTGAACACTATTTACATCATCACCGTATTGCAAATGCTGTTGATTGAATGGAAATGCAGTCAATTTCAACAACATAAAGCAAAGTGGACAGAGGTTGAGAGTTGGAAATGGGGAGGAGAGGGAGAGAGGATGGTGGGTGTTCTCATGCGTGTCCGATATCGTAAGAAGTCCAAATACTGCACAACATTGATGAATGGGTAAGCTGAGGCTCTAAGTTTTACTTTTTTTTTTTTTTTTTTTTTTTTGGCCACACCAAGTGCCTTGCAGGATCTTAGTTCCCTGACCAGGGAGTGAACCCACATCCTCGGCAGTGAAAGCGAGGATTCCTAATCACTGGACCGCCAGGGAGTTCCCCAAAGTTTACTACATAAGTTACACATTTGGATAACTAATAGAAGAATTAAAGAGAATTCATATAGGGACTTCCCCGGTGGTCCAGTGGGTAAGACTCCAAGCTCCCAATGCAGGGGGCCCGGGTTCAGTCCCTGGTCAGGGAACTAGATCCCTCATGCCAAAACTAAGAGTTCCCATGCCACAACTAAAGATCCTGCATGCCACAACTAAGACCCGGCGCAGCCTAAATAAATAAATAAATAAATAAATAAATATTTTTTAAAAAGAGAATTCATATAGCTATTAAAGGGGTTCAGAACATGCTACTCCAAAATATACCACTTTGGCATATTGATTATTTTGAACTGAAGGCAATTGAGAAACTGTAGATGCAGGAAGGGCTCTCTGACCTCCCTCTTTCTACCTAAAATCAGGTCTTTGAACTTCCCATGAGAAAGGTGCCCTCCCTTTAGCAGGAAGAAAAGGACATTCTTATCACTGGGGACTGGGTGTCAATGCTGAAGTGGTCCTGTACAAATAAACCTACCAAAATAACCCTTGTCTTCCATTACTTTCTCCCCATGTATCTCCTAGTCACTTTCCCACAATTTACTGTCCTCAGCTCAAGCCCCTTGGTCTTGTCACATCCCTGCAGTTTATTATTCTTTGTGTAAAAAGGCATATAAGTTTGGGGGCCTAACAGCTTATTCAGGTCTTCATTTTCCCTTCAAAGACTCCCATGTACATGTAAAAATATTAAATAAGATATGTATGCTTTTCTTTTTAATCTGTTTATGTCAGTTAATTCTTAGGCCAGCTACAGAACCTAAGAGGGTAGAAGGAAGTTTTTCCTCCCCTACTATCAAAAATTGGAAGAAGGGAAGGGGAGGGGAAACAGTGTAAATTATACTGTAATTTTTCAGGATGGGCTGTCAGTTGATAATGTCTAAAGAAATAGTAATATAAGTATATTACATGTTATGAAAATAGTTGCCAGAACTACAGACAGAAGTGGATAAATGTGGTTGCCTCTGGGAAGTTGTACTAGAAGTGACCTCGGATTAGGCGGAGACACAATTTTGATGTCACATAAGTGATTGTTTTGGTAAAAAGAAATGAGAAGGGTTGTATTGACCAGGAACAAAATTTGTTCAAAGTATAACTGCAGCTATTTCATTACCTTAACTTTTATTTATTTATTTATTTATTTATTTTTGCGGTACGCGGTCCTCTCACTGTTGTGGCCTCTCCCGTTGCGGAGCACAGGCTCGCGACGCGCAGGCTCAGCGGCCATGGCTCACGGACCCAACCGCTCCGCGGCATGCGGGATCCTCCCGGACCGGGGTACGAACCCGTGTCCCCTGCATCGGCAGGCAGACTCTCAACCACTGTGCCACCAGGGAAGCCCAACCTTAACTTTTAAATACAGCCTGTAAGCATTTCTGATTTTCCTAAATGTACCCTTGTGCAGGAAAAAGAACTAGTTCAGCTCTGATATAGATATTTGAATGCCACTTCTGTTGAGATCGTGGATTGTTTTGAGGTGAGACAAAATGAAGGACTGTGAGGTACTTCTCAACGGTGTAAAATCCCTGGATTAATCCAGAGTTTAGCTTATTTAATATATACCATTTAAGCTCTTTTCTTGTGCAAAATCTTCAACTTATTTTTTCGCCATCAGAGCACACCTCTGATTTTATAATGCCAATCATTGAAAACTGACATTTATTCTATATAAACATTCCCTTTGGACATATCCATTTCCAAGTTCAGGGAGCCAGGCTCCAGGAACCCACGCACGCACACGGGGACTGTGTGGTGTGGGGCAGGGCCGGGGACGCTGCCCACACTGTGGTGCCATTCCTGTGGTTGTGATGCTAAATTAGAGCATGTTTTCGTTTTCTTCTCTCTAGGAAGGCCCTTTCGTCTACTTGTCTTTGGTAGGAAACATCACAGATTCTGATGCCTTGATTGCTTCATTGTGTAAGTAATTTAAAACGTTTGCATTTGCCATATTTGAGGGATTAATTGCAAGTATGGCTGTCAATTAAATGAGCACCTGTACCCTATGCTGTATGATTCTAGTTACATGAAATGTCCAGAATAGGCAAATCTATAGAGATAAATTATAGATTAATGGTTGCCTGGGTGTGTGGGGAGGGGGCGGGATCATAGGCCAGAAATGGGGCGTGACTGATAATGGGTACAAGTTTCTTTTTGGGGGTAGAAACATTATAAAATTACATGATTTGTGGTGATTCAAATCTGAGAATATACTAAAACTTGTTGAATTATACACTTTAAACAGATTTAAAAAAACAGGTCTGGCACGTGAATTATATCTCAATAAAGCTATAATTTCAAATTTTTGTTTGTTTTTATTTATTTTATTTATTTATTTTTGGCTGCACTGGGTCTTCGTTGCTGTGCATGGGCTTTCTCTAGTTGTGGCAAGCAGGTGCCACTCTTCATTGCAGTGCTCCGGCTTCTAATGGCAGTGGCTTCTCTTGTCGCGGAGCACGGGCTCTAGGTGTGCGGGCTTCAGTAATTGTGGCTCGCGGGCTCAGTAGTTGTGGCTCGCAGGCTCTAAAGCACAGGCCCAGTAGTTGTGGTGCACAGGCTTAGTTGCTCCGCGGCATGTGGGATCTTCCCCGACCAGGGCTCGAACCCGTGTCCCCCTGCATTGGCAGGCGGATTCTTAATCACTGCACCACCAGGGAAGCCCTATAATTTCAAATGTTTATAGTGAGTGCAGAATGAGGAGTTTGCAGTATTTAAACTGGGTGTTTTCCATATTTTTATTATTAACTTTAATATATATATATATATATATATATATATGTATATATATATGGTCTTGTAGATAATTTCCAGAAATCTTCCTGCTCTGCAGCGGTGTTAACTAGTTTTCCCTGTCTTTGTCATGTTGCTGTAAATCAATCAACATTCAGTCAGTCAGTATTGACTACCTCCAATGTGCTGTGTCAGTACTGACAAATAAATGAGCTGTGCAGAAACTGGGTTCTTTGCCACTATTATAGAGCTGCCTTGTGCAGGATAACTTCTTTCAGATTTTGCATCTGAAAATCTGCATTGTTTATCTCATTTCTCCCACAATTCTGAAATAGTGTCATCCAGCCAGGATCTGGACTCCTGTTCACCACTAATGTTGTAAAACTCTTCTGGAGAATTGAGTCAGCCACAATTAGTGCTTCCCAAAGCAAAACACATGTTATCTTTGATGTCCGTCAGGTCCTAGCCATGGTAGCTCAGGGCGCCTGAGTCCCACATCTCTTTTTTTTTTTTTTGCGGTACGCGGGCCTCTCACTGCTGTGGCCTCTCCCATTGCAGAGCACAGGCTCCGGATACACAGGCTCAGCGACCATGGCTCACCGGCCCAGCCGCTCCGCGGCATGTGGGATCTTCCCGGACCAGGGCACGAACCCACGTCCTCTGCATCGGCAGGCGGACTCTCAACCACTGGGCCACCAGGGAAGCCCTGAGTCCCCTATCTTGAAGCCACCTGCTCAGTTCCACGGGCTAAGGAAAATGCAGCTGTGCAGCTTTCTGGCGAGTCTGCTGGATTAAACTGTGCTTGAGAATTGCTAGGGAAGTCTGGGGTTGAGAATTCCAGCTCAAGTCACTGTCCTCCTACCCTGGCTGCCCTGCTCAGCCTCAGAGAAAGCAAACAGCCCAGATTTGGCTCAGTCCCATGAAATGCAAATATCTAATTCGATCTTTATCAGTCATCTTCAGTCTACATTTTCACGTTCAAAAAAATGAAAACTCGGGCTTCCCTGGTGGTGCAGTGGTTAAGAATCCGCCTGCCAATGCAGGGGACGCGGGTTCGAGCCCTGGTCTGGGAGGAACATGCCTCGGAGCAAATAAGGCCGTGTGCCACAACTACTGATCCTGCACTCTAGAGCTCACAAGCCACAACTGCTGAGCCCATGTGCCACAACTACTGAAGCCCGCACACCGAGAGTCCATGCTCCACAACAAGAGAAGCCACCTTAATTAGAGGCCTGCGCACCGCAACGAAGAGTAGCCCCCACTCGCTGCAACTAAAAAGAAAGGCTGCGTGCAGCAACGAAGACCCAACGCAGCCAAAAATAAATTAATTAATTAATTTTTTTTAAGTGAAAATTCATTTAATGGAGGTACCCTTTATTAGTGTGAAAGTGGAAATCTAGTAGATAATGTCAAGTAGTGCTTCTTGGACTTTAAAGTACACAGATTGCTTGGGGTTCTTGTTAAAATGCAGATTCTAATTCAGAGGGTCTGGGGTAGGGCCTCCCATCTATTGATCTGTGGACTGTCCTTTGATTCAG